TCAAAAAAGAACTAGACAGAATCATGGAGCTAAGGTCCATCAATGGCTATTGGCCATGATGGGTAGGAATGGTGTCCCTAGCCTCTGTTTGTCTGGAAATGGGTGACAGGAGAGGGATCACCTGAGGATTACCTGTTGTGTTCCCTCCTTCTGGTATTGGCCACTGTTGGCAGACAGGATACTGGGCTAGATGGACCTTTGGTCTGACCCAGTATGGCCATTCTTATATTCACTGTCAAGAATGCAGAATTTCTAGGGCACCCAGGCAAATGTGTCCTGCAACTGACAAATCAGACAAAAGTCCAACTTCAACCACAACTGAAGAAAGTGAAAGTGCAACCTTGCATGTTTCACTACATACATGCATGCCACCAGAGAGTTCAATACACTCAGGTATACTTAGATTGTGATCAAAGGGTGCAACTAGAGATCCCAACAAAGGTAATCAATTGCCTAGGACAGTTTAGTTTGAATATGAATTCCTGAATATAAACTTCCAATTCATGGAGTTTATCAGAGCACCAATGCACTCCCTGAAACATCTTGACCAGATTGCTCATCCCAGCTTTGAGCTGGCCTTAAGTTTGATTTGTCTCGGTCTCAAATCAGACCTAACTGATCATAAAAGTCTAATGAGACCCAGACCTCATGACAGAAAACTTGAATCTGATGAGTTTGTTGAGATCACAGATCAAAGATAGGTCTCATTATTACCTTAGATGTGAGGAAGTATCGTGAGTAAAACCTTTCCACAAAGATTAGGAACCTCCCTTAGAGTCCCCAAAGTACACAGGGTTTCTGACTGGTGAAAGAACAAGTGAGATAGGCCCCTGAAAAGGTGTGGGGTACAGGGATAGCAGTGTGAAATGGATAGAAACACAACAGCATAACCTAATCCCCCAGTGCTTGGTCAGATGGGTCCTAAGCACTATAGAAATAAGGCAGCTTGTCCCCTAGTAACTGGGGCCTAGAAAAGATATTGAAAATGAGGTGTTGCTCTTGAAATACCAGACTGTTTAGAACAAGGAGAAAGAGGATGGTACATTGATTAAAAGTAGACCCAGATGGTTTCTTTCATGTTTTATGCCACTTTCTAGGGAAGTCTTGCCGCCTTACAGTGTAGGAACACTGACAGAAATATCCCCAAGGACCAAACTGCCTCATCTTGAGGTTAGGTGGTTGTCTATAGGAGACTATGGAGTTTAAACTCCAAGAGGCTCTGGGAGACAGACCCATAGTCTCCTATAGACAACCACCTAACCTCAAGATGATTCTTACCAACCACCACAGGACATACCACACTAATACCAACCTTGGTACCTTCCCTTGCAACAAACCCCGTTGCCAGCTTTGTCCACATATTCACTCTGCTGATACCATTATTGAACCTAACCAAGTGAGTTATAAGATCAAGAACACATATTCCTGCGCATCCGGAAATATAATATATGCTATCATGTGCCGAAAGTGTCCGTCTGCTTTGTACATTGGACAAACGTCTCAGACACTTCGCCAAAGGATCAATGCCCACAAAACAAATATTAGACAGGATCACAAAGAAAAAACAGTTTCTTGCCATTTCAACCAGAAAGGACACAGTCTCAACAACTTAATTACCTGCATCCTGCTTCAGAAGCCTCTTAAATCTGCACTTGAAAGAGAATCCTCTGAACTGTCATTCATGCTAACATTCGACACTCTATGAGGGGGTCTCAACAAAGACTCTAGCTATCTTACCCATTACAAAGATAGCTTCCCCAATTATCACCTCTAATACCATTAGCTCACAGACATTTACCTTCCCCCCTCCTCCCCCTTCTGTTCTGAAATGTGATTTATCCTTTTCATGTGTTCATTTTTTTTAATTGTATCCTTTGGTATATATGGTTGTGACTATTTTCTTCCACTATTTGATCTGAGGAAGTGGGTCTTGCCCACAAAAGCTCACCTAATAAACCATCTTGTTAGTCCTGAATTTTGTTTCAGCTACACCAGACTAACACTGCTACATTTCTATCACAACAAAACCAGGGTATTTCATGAGGATGAGAGACTCTAGTAATGCTTTGTTTATAGGGAAAGCAATTCTCCCAGGAGCTGATAGTCAGAAGATACCTACCAAATTTATGAGTGTTTTTAGCACAGACTAAACCGAATACCTAAAGCCGACGCCATGTATTGAGCACATCTTGATACAATCTGAAATCCTCTGGAGACAAGGACTTGGGTACAAGTCATCTGGTGACATGGGTAACAATATAATTTGGGTCACTAGACTCTCTTGACCAATGATATCCAGCCATTCCAAATTTCAGAATGTCCTAATACACAGGTAATGCGCCTTCTGCTGGTGTCTTGCAGGACTGATGGGGAGACTACAGGAGATATAGGGGATTTCTTATAACCAGTTTACAAACAGGACTTTGCTCAGTAATTTCAGGGAAGCTGCTACACATAACAATACAGCATCCCAGGCCAGTAAGAACTAGGCCAGATATTTTGTTTCTGCTGTGGGAATGATACCTGGTGCCAACTATAACTCCTGCTGTGTCCTGACAGCCTTCAAGTGTGAGAGGAGGAGGGAGATATCGCTGAGCTCAACTGTAAAGATCCCCCCCTCCCCCCCAAACAGCTTGACGGTGGCAGCGGAGGCACTCCTGTCAGGACTTCCAAAAGGCAAGTGCCATCCATGATCCAACACAATGATGCCATGAATAGTAAAAGAGCAATCAACAGGTACCTGAATGCTGGCACCAACACTGAACTCATTCAGGGTGTTGAATAAGGTATCAATAATGAAAACAAAGCTGGTGCCAGGCCAGCAGATCCCAACTGCATGGTAATCTAGATTGATAAAGGATTCTATCCAAGCCAAAAAACACTCTCACTACCGAGCAAGAAAGTCAACCACACTCATGCAGCGAGGTTAAATTGTAATATGAATGGGTGCAGAAATGATAAAGAGTTAACCAGCAATTCCAGGATAGCAGAGCTCACTATAGAAGATGCAACTGCAATAGGATGAAGATCCTAATTAGGCAATAAGTCAGGAACAGGGAGGCACAGCATATCTGCTGCTGCCTGATACCCAGAGTGGAAAAAAGATACTTCAACATAGATGACTGCACTAACCAGCTTCAACAGGTGAACCCAAGGCAATACCCAAGTTGCCAGTACAGATTCACCACCCTGATCTTTCCATGATACCAGAGATCAGGTTAATGGTTCCACTCTCTCATAACAGGAGACTCCCAGTACCAATCATTAATTCTTGTATGCCCCCTGGCGCCCAGCGGGCAAACGGCCCCGCCCCCTGGCGCCCAGCGGGCAAACGGCCCCGCCCCCTGGCGCCCAGCGGGCAAACGGCCCCGCCCCCTGGCGCCCAGCGGGCAAACGGCCCCGCCCCCTGGCGCCCAGCGGGCAAACGGCCCCGCCCCCTGGCGCCCAGCGGGCAAACGGCCCCGCCCCCTGGCGCCCAGCGGGCAAACGGCCCCGCCCCCTGGCGCCCAGCGGGCAAACGGCCCCGCCCCCTGGCGCCCAGCGGGCAAACGGCCCCGCCCCCTGGCGCCCAGCGGGCAAACGGCCCCGCCCCCTGGCGCCCAGCAACCTAAAAAGGTTGGGGACCACTGCACTAGAACAACCCAAATAAAACAGATAAGGGTTTTTTTGTTGGGTCCAATGAAGGGGTTCAGCTCTTCTTCCTCCTGGGTAAATAATCCAAGCTTAGTTTAGAAGTATCAATACCCTTTCAGGGGCTCGACTCTCCATACTGTTCCCTAACTTTGAGGGAGGCAACAATGACTGCTTGAGAAGGTGCTATTTTATTCTTAAACTTCTAGCTACCCAGGTTCTTATTTTAAAAGGATTTACAGAAGAGAGCACCTTTCTTTAGCATGCTCTTTCCTAAGACAACACACACCCGGGGTGGGGATCATTATTGGGAATAGCTTCCACACAAAAAGGGCTATGCTTTAATGCTGGAGAGAGTATCTCACCAGGAGAAGCTACCTGGTTACTACCTATTAATAACTAAAGGTTCTAAGAGAAACTATATACAAAAATGACACAAAAAGCTGTGAAGAGAAGTGAGAGCACTAAGTGCTCCAACTCTAATTGTGAGGAATGAGAAGGAACTAAGGGATGTTCACAAGGCATTGCCTTCATAGGCATGGGAAGGGCTATGAGGAGAGAGAAGCCAGTGCGGACTCTAAGAGTACTGCTAGGTAAAATTCTCCAGCTCTAGTTGCCTGGGTATGCACATACCTGAGTGCAATGTGTGAGCAACCACTCAAAGAATCTGCTCTTCCACAATCACTCCCAAAGGAAGGCTTTCTATAATTAATAAACAGCTTAAGACTAATACTAGGGTGACCAGGTGTCCAGTTTTCAACCAGAACAACTGGTCTAAAAGGAATCCTGGCAATACCAGTTAGCACTGATGAGGCCACTGACTGTCCAGTTGTTGGTGCCACACAGTGGAGCTGGCAGGCTTCATGCTAGCTTCCAAGCACTTCATCCTTGGCTCCAGCCCTTCCCACAACTCAGTGACCTGAGCCAGCCCAGTAAAAATGAGCAAAAGTGGGGAAGAGCAAAAGATAAGGGGTGGGGAACAAAGGGAGTGGGGGAGTTCAGAAAGGGTAGGCAAGGGTATTCAATTTTGTGAAAGTAGAAATTTGGCAACTCTACTGAATACTTTTCCAAAATTCATTGTACATAATTTCCAGCAGTTAGCCACTTCAGACTCCAAAATGAGGCCAAATAAGTAGCAGTATAAAAAGGATAGAGTGAGTGAGTGAGTGAGTGTGTGTGTAAAAATAAAAATAAATAAAAATACTGAAGGGAAAGACTGATGTAAAATTGCTTTAAGACTGAGGTTCAGCTGGAGTGTGAAAAGCAGAATCAATATTTCTTCCTAAAATGCTTTACAATAGAATTAGATTAATACAAAACAATTACTATTATAAATAATAAAGTAATAAAGGGCTCCACATTTTACCAACCTGCCACCAATTTGAGTCTTCCCGATTTACAATCTGAAGAATTTCTCCTTTAGAAAATTTCAAGCCTGCTTCTTTGCAAGGGATCAGGTTGTCATTGTATGGATTATAATCAAAATGACACTTCACAAATACCTGAAACACATTGTAAACTTTAAAAGATGAATATCAAAGATTGTTACTGATATAAAAAAATCATCATTACTAATTAGTAAAGCCAAAAATGCTTAGTAACTTTGATAAGGACATACAATTTCATTAATGGTTGTTAATTTGCCATGGCCAAATGCAATACAAGCTACTGGAGAAAATGTAAAGATTTTGCCTGACATTATAACAGCAGAGAATACCATTAAACTTAAAGCAAACAAACAGTAAAAAGCTTCTCAACACAGGAAAATACAAAATTTGGCTTAAAAAAAATTGCATTGTCTACCTGGAACTGAAACTCATTTTTATACTTCCGTATAAACCAAAATGTAAGATTCTGACATAGATTAACCCAAAATTAATCTAAAATATGCATTTTTGAGAATGCAAGCACTTGTCTTGAGTGTAGGTATATATTTAGGCCACAAATTGCTGAGATTTCAAGCAGTCCCTTAGCTTGCTTGTATTAAAGGCCTTCCTTCCAAAGTTGCTATTGGAAAGAGAATTGACAATCAATTGCCCCCCCTTCTCTATAATGCCAATGCTTCAAGGAATATGTATTTGTGTGCACTGTCTGCTGTACAGAAGAATGTGTACCTAAAGCTCAATGCAGTCCTATATTCCTATAGCACCTGCTCAGCCTAAATAGTCTTTTGTTTAGCTTGTAACTCAAGACTGGTCCTGGAGAATTTATTTTGGATAACCATATTCAGGAAGAGAAATTTACCACTTGCAAGGAGCTTTTTTGAATCTTCAAATCCATCAGTTTAGGACAAGGCATTTACTCTTTCCATACTTTCAGTGTGCAAACTAAAAGATTGCAGGAACAACCAGTTAGAACACAGAGCTTTTTGGCACCTCACATTCTCTCAAGCAAAATCAACTTCTGAGGAAGCCTCTCTCAAATTGCAACTATACCCAAATTCAGTCAAGTCTCTGAAAATTGCAGTTTGCACATGTGCAGAGATTTGTCAGTGGTTAGTAGCAGCATCCCCCTCTGAAGAGTCTGCCTACACAGAGGATTCTTCATCCCCACATAACTCTTGTGAAGCAGCCAGAGCAGTCACGTGCCATTCCAGGGACATGGCATTGGGGCAGACTTCTCCTGCATTTACTTCTCTCAACAGGTGAACAAGTGAACAAGTGCTGCCAAGCACTAGAATTGAGACCAGAAATAATGTTCCTTCCATGTTTTCAATGCTCCCATTGCTACCAACAATGCAGCAGAAAGGAGGAGGAGGAAGCTGTGACCTAAATGCAGAGGTGTGAACTGGGAAGAGCTGGTGGGAAGGAAGGAGAAGCAGAGGAGGGATAAGAAAAGGAGCTTCAGGAAGGGGTAATAAAGAAGAGCAGAGGAGTACTGGCCACCTAGAGAAGAAGGGTGGGGACAGAAGAGTCTAAAGCAGGCATGTCCAAAGTCCGGTCCGCGGGCCAATTGCGGCCCGTGTTCCGGTTTAATACGGCCCCACAGGTAATTTGGCAATATCTATCTTTTATGGCCCCCAACAAATCCATATGTATTGAGATGAATACATTGTAAAATCTCAGTTAATGTCAGTTGGTCTAAATCAGTTATAAATATATTTGGACACAACATGTATACTGGGTGTTATGTTCCTGTTCATATTTTTTTAACTTAAAAGTTGACAGACAACCTTTATTACCAATAATATGTAATGTACTTTACAATGTTCCTGACATATATTTCAGCTTCCTGGATTTTTTTTTCATCTGGCCTTCAGATATGAAAGGCAGAGTGATTTAACACCTGTTTAGATTTGTCATCCATGTGACGAAATGAAAAGTATGCTGTTTGCAATAAACTTTGCATAAAATAATTAATTTGCATTTAATTTTAATGGTTCAAAGAATGTCAGGCAAAATGGTCGGCCCTCACGCATGTTCACTTCATCAAATCTGGCCCTCTTTGAAAAAAGTTTGGACACCCCTGGTCTAAAGCACCCGAAAAAAAAACAACACATTTGATTACCTGCTTTTCCAGAGCATGTACTAAAACAATCTTAATTCTAGCATGTTGGGTGCTTGACATTGCAACCTTAACTTTCTTTTAACGTAAGAGAGGGGCTATAAGTAATTACCAAATATAGTAAAAGTGGTTGAAAGTTTTCTATAAAATTGTTTTGACAGGAAATTGAGTTTTTGACAAACTGTTTTTGTGGAAGTATCTACTTTATGAAAAAGTGTCAAAAATAGAACACAGAAATGAAAACCCTCTCTCATTTGGACTACAGGCAGTCCCCGGGTTACGTACAAGATAGGGACTGTAGGTTTGTTCTTAAGTTGAATTTGTATGTAAGTCGGAACTGGTACATATTGTAGGGGAAACTCTAGCCAAACATTTTTTTTAGTTTTGGATAGCATAGGGAAAGGTTAACCCCCCTCTAATGTTTGTTTTGCTGTCTGTTCCCCTGTTCAGAAGATTTCACATCTATTTCTGTCCCTGTGACAAACTCAGGACTAAAGGAGTAACTCATCAAATACCAAACAGCTCTGCACCATGCTTTGAGCTAATAGCTTTATTTCCACACACCACCCAGGGTTCCAGGAGGAGGGTCCTTTTTTTGCTAACACAATGAGGCCAGCACTTTGTTTGTTTTGGTGGAGTCTTTGTTTGCCCAGGGAGCCCAGCATGTATAGGGGGAGGAGGGGCGGAGAGGCTGCTTTTGTCTGCTGTTCGGCAGCCTGTTGCTCAGGGGAGGGGGCAGCCTGTTGCTGGCAGGGGGGGAGGAGGGAGGCGTGCAGAATGCGAGGCCGCGGG